CCAACAAATAACACGCTCGTAGAACAACACGTATAACAAATATTATCACACTATAACCTTTCTTCTTTTTTGAAAACGCCTATTCTGTTGATGTTGTCTTTAAACTTTATTTGTGAAAGAATTCCTGAAGCAAGAAATCTCAACCGTTTCATGATTGTGAATTCTAATTAGTCAATTTTACAGTTCAGACGGATCTTCGCTCTATCATAAAATCTAGAAACTATTAACAGTGTTAATTCAGCCATCAAACAAAAACCGAAACTCTGATCAAAATATCTATCAGACAACTTGACTGTCCTGAAAGCTTTTCAAATATTGAAGTATTTAAAACTCATCCAGCAAGTGACAGGAAACAGTAAGAGAACATACTTTAAGAATAACTAGGAATGTTCTTGGCAAGCAGAGATAAAAAGTAAACAAATTTGAAAACACCTGAAAAGCATCACAGGTTCCTTCCCAAACTCTCAGAAAACTAACATAGCCACAGAACAGATTTTTGTTCTCCCTTACTCTACCTGAAAAAGAACCAACAGTCCTCATCCTTTTAACAGAAAACTTTAAGAAACTTTACAGCAAATAATTCCCTATAAGTTAACATCAGAAACATTATCACCGCAGGATATATTATTTATACCCTCAGAACCGTCAATGTCAAAGGCACTGGTCTTTCCCGAAGTGTTTTCTAGTTCAAGTAATACCCTGCATAAAACCGGTATTCAGAACTTTCAAATTCCTCCAGCTTCCAGACACCGCTTCATTTCCGACGATGTATGGAAAAACAAGTTATGAAGGACGAAGAAACTTGAAATAAGAAATCTACAAAAGAAGCAAATAAAAACCCAGCTTTCCATTTTCATCTAACACAGCTTCCAAAAATTTTTTCATCAGAACTCTAAGATATCATGAACAGACACAGCCAGTTAACAGGCTCAATATCTGACGTGTTCGAACAAGCCAACTCAATAAATCTTCCAAAATTATCATGAAAACGAACCATATGAAAATGTTATTGGAGAAATCGCTCGAAAGAGTACCGCAGCTAAGCAAAAAAAAAAAAAAAA